TCAGACACTTCCTGTTATAGGGTGACAATGCTCTGTCCTTGTTCAGACACTTCCTGTTATAGGGTGACAATGCTCTGTCCTTGGTCAGACACTTCCTGTTATAGGGTGACAATGCTCTGTCCTTGGTCAGACACTTCCTGTTATAGGGTGACAATGCTCTGTCACTGTCTTCCAGTTGTGCTCCTGTGTTGTCAACCTATCACAGGGGCTTATGATGTAGGCTACATATGGATGTTTCAGCACACGTCGCAGACATGATCCACTGACAGACGTGATAGCTAGATAGTTAGATGATAGATAATCAATAGACAGACAGATAGATCATAAGATAAATAGATCCCCATCATGTATCCAATGAGGAAACAAAATCATCCTGCGGGGGACTCGCTGAGATAAAAAGTAAATTTTTCCTCCCAGGCGGCAGTTGAACTTTTTGAGTGATTTACCCTGTAATTCTGCTGAGAGCGGATCCGGCGAGACGTACATGGCGCAGGACATGAGGGAGCGCTGACCCAACATTTAGAAGGAGATTATATCCGGCGAGGTGAATGATGAAAGGATCTTTTAACAACTATCCGTGAGAAATGATCCTCCTCATCGTCCTCCGAGGGACCCGAGACAAATGAAGAAATGAGACCGTCTGTATTTTGAGGGAATTGTGTGATGGCGGCAAACGCGTCTTGTCTGCATTTCTTTAGGGAGGTTGGGGGACGGGGGGGCGGTGGTGGTGCAGGAAGATGTGTCCATCACAGGTGGTTTATATGGATTTATTGCTGATTTTCCTGCAGCTGAGACAGAACACACACCTAACACGGACCTGTCCACAATCCTACATTATAAATCCCGGACGTGTCACCGTATACAGGATCATTGTTCAGGAAATCTTCACCTTTTATCATTAAAAAGCCGTCGCTGAGCTCCAGTCACTGACTTTGCCCAGGCTGAGGTGATGTCATCAGTCTGCTGCAGGCAAGAGGAAGCATTTCCTCAGTCTCCCCTCCCCCAGTCATCAGACTGCAACATTGTAACTTTGTTATTTCGTTTATAGAGGTTTTTCTATGTGGTCACATGACTGCAAAGCTCCAGCTCTCTCCCCTGTCTTTATGACCGGTGGGCATGAACTCTTTCCCGGTGTTCTATCGAAAGTTCCGACTCATCGAGTTCTCCAACTGCCTGACTTCCGGTTTAGTGAGAACTAAGAGATTTGGGCAAGAAAGCTTTTTCTGCACGAGCGCCATCCGCGGCATTGCCCTATACACATACAGCGCAGCAATGAAGTATTAAAATGAACTAGGATCACACTCATCCAGCACGTTATTATTCTGAGTTGCCCCACTCAATATGGCCGCCGCTTCAGTGGGGCACCTGAGATTAATAACGTGTTGGATGAGTGTTATCCTAATTCATTTTAATACTTCATTGCTGTGCTGTATGTGTATAGGGCAATGCCGCGGCTGGCGCTCGTGCAGAAAAAGCTTTCTTGCCCAAATCTCTTAGTTCTCACTAAACCGGAAGTCAGGCAGTTGGAGAACTCGATGAGTCGGAACTTTCGATAGAACACCGGCTGACAACTCCTGAGAGCAATGGACACTGGCAGTATGATGTCACTGCTGGAATTCAGCAGTGTTGTCACCTAGTCTTTGCATGTACACAGACTAGCCGGAGCTTTGTGGTCAGGTGACAACATAGAAGAATCTTTAATAAAGGTATTCATTGCAAATGATTAAAAATGTCTGCAGGGAAAGTCAGAGCAA